GTTATCAACCAGTGATATAGATTTTTTTCTACCTTTTCTCTCTCTCTCTATGTGTGTGTGTGTGGGGGAGGGTATGGGTATATAGTTATGCAGATACGGGACTGCATGAATATCGTTAAATGCTGCTATTGAAGGCTTTCCTTCCGATTCATCGACGCCGTCCCTCCCGCGGTACCAATACGAAGAAAAAAAAATGGCCCCATATCTGCATGTTTCACTGCAAGTGTCGTTGAAAGATGACAATCTTGCATGTGGAGAGAGTGAACGAAACGTTTATTTGATGTTCTGCGCGAGGAAACCGGTGAATTGTATTTGCGAAGCGCTGCGTTAGAGAGTCTTGATCCGTGCAGTGAAGGCGAACGAACGAATTGAGGCACGATAGACAGGAGTGCCATCTGGCATTTATCTTCGAAAGTGAAGGAAGGCGTGAGCGCCCGCGGAGAAAGAAGTGCGCCTGTCTCGGAAGCGATAAGAATTAGAACGCAAAGCGACGGGCAGGCGCCACCACCGTGTCGTCTAAGCAAAGCGTTGCAAACGCTTGCCTTTTTTAAGCATCGTGTTGCACTGTCAGTGCAGCGTGATAAACGCTACGGTCCTTAGATTTACTTGTGTGTGCCTTCTCTAGTATAAAGAGACACATACAAAACATCGACGTTTTGTTACGGTGCCTCAAGTATGTGCAATAATTGCTTTTTTTATTGACAATCACACTAGTATATGAACGCTTGAACTTGGGCAATATTGGTGGGCGCTGCGGAGGGGGATGGCCGTTTAAGGTATCGTTTAGTGCCTTTGAAAAATTGTTACTACGGACAAGCAGACAAAGGTACAGACAGACCAAAATTTTGGCGTCGAAGGTCCCCAAGAAAGACTATAAAAGGTGATAGATGATTAAAAGGTGATGATGAAAGGTGATTAAAAGGTGATAGATGTTACGTGCTTCGGTGGAGTTTGTGCAGAAAAAATATTCCCCACGGGAAAGTGTCCGGCTGGAAGATAGGACCTATCCGGCGTATATTATACTTTTTGGGGGTGATAAATATGGGCTATAGATATGCACTGGCTTGGATATTCACCTGTTTGGAGGTTATCATTGCACGATATACAATTTTTTTATAATCATATTAAATCACACAGTGTGAAGGTCAATTGAGGCCCCGCCGCGGTGGTCTAGTGGCTAAGGTACTCGGCTACTGACCCGCAGGACGCGGGTTCGAATCCCGGCTGCGGCGGCTGCATTTCCGATGGAGGCGGAAATGTTGTAGGCCCGTGTGCTCAGATTTGGGTGCACGTTAAAGACCCCTAGGTGGTCTAAATTTCCGGAGCCCTCCACTACGGCGTCTCTCATAATCATATAGTGGTTTTGGGACGTTAAACCCCACATATCAATCATATCAAGGTCAATTCAGAATATTTTAGAGTGACGGGTGACACTGTCATCTTTAGAAACAGTGAAGGTGCATGCAATACGACTGCAAGTGCGAACTTAAAGAACGTATGGGTAGATTCGACAATCAGTACGCAAAAGCGACCACCGGGCAATTTCGAACGACTAAAGAACAGAATCAGCCGCTTTATGAGTATTGCCGCCGAGTTATCAGAGGTGTAAAAAAAATGTTCGCAGGACTGTTGGAGCCTGAGTTTATCAACAGAGAGCGAAATAAAGGTATGTCTGAACACGATGTTTTTGATAAAAAAAAAAACACTCGTGTCCGTCACGGCTATACAGATGTACTTCGCGGACACCGACGAAATATCGAAACTGGGGCGTTTCGTTCGTGAGGCTAACGCATTTCTATGATTTGCAAGCCTTCCGAATTTGTTGTATCACTGCTATTCAATTCACAGTCCTTCATTGTTTAGTTGGAGGCAGAATCGTATCCAGGAATTGTTCTCGGGGGGGGGGAGTATATCTAGAGCTGCTAGCTTTGGCAAATGGTGGTCGATACGAAGGTGTGTAAATTATGTAGTATTAACCAAGAAATTGAAGCATGAACATACTTTCGGGGGATGTCACAAACTCCTCAACTACTTCCTAGTAGCGGCCGTAGGTGGAAACATAGTCTTATTGCATCTTGATCATACTATTCTTACACGGGTTTACAAAGAAAGCCTTCGCTTAAGATTCTCCGATATTTTTTATCACTGCTCTCTACTAAACACGTGAATTGTTAAGCTTTGAGGAGGCAGGTATAGCCACAACCTTTATTGAGCTGTCACGTGACGGTGGTGTTGAGCTAGCTGTCGCGTTCTTCCTCTTTTGATGGAAGATATATTGATTGATTTATGTCAGCAGCATCATGGCACAGAAGATGCAAGAATGAGCGACAAGCCAGGCCACATTGAAGTGCTCCGCGCATAGAAAAGGAAGAAATCACGAGAACATTGAAGCTTCTGATGAAGCTGAACTCGAAATCGTAGCTGAACGCAATCGGGAAAAATTCCGGCACCTTCTACTCACCCATTTTCAGGATTGACTGCTCGTTTTATTCATATCAAAATCGGCACCTACACGTTTATTCACTACTAGTATCACGCTTTTTTTTCTCTTACCTTATACTTATTTTGTTTGATGATTTGAATACTAACATGCCATTCAGTTCTGTTGTGTTTTATTCAGTGATGTTTTCTTTTGAATAATGGAAAGTCTTTTCACAATTTGTGCTTGTTTTTTTAGCTTGTTTTAGCGTCATTATCTCACGCGTATACTCATCTGATGTTCATTGCCGTTCCATTCCTATTAAAATTATTATTATTTTCACATTGTTATTTCTGTTGGGACTTGTATAATAATTGACAATTCGTTCATGTTATTGTTTGTATGGAAATTGTACCGATTCGTGTATGTATTTCTTTTTATGCTCCCCTTACACAATGCCCTGTTGGGTCTATAAGGTATTTTGAATAAATAAATAAATAAACATTTGTCAAAAGCGAGTGTGCTACGTTCTGACAAGCGGACTCGTCTTCTTCAAGACAGTAAATTGAAGAAGACGAATCTTCTTGCATGAACGTCGGGTCCAGAACCTGTTGATAAATTTTTCACTGCAGCAATTTGTCGATCAGGTAAACGTGCAGCGCCAATTCGATGTTGAAAACCTGAAGCGAGTAAAATAATTTCGGTCAACTCGTCACCTAAATTCTTGTTCGTGTTTATCGTTCGTGCGCTGGAAATGACATTTAAAAATCTGCATCCAAAGCAGCATGCTAAACTGAGCTGATGTAATCTCTCTACATTTAGAAAATGAGAAGTATGGGATTAGGTAAAGAAAACATCACAGTTATCGGGCTTTTTAATGCGGGCCGAACAGACTTAACGTTTCGAGGACACCCTTGACCTTATCTCCATAATAGAAGTGGGGGGGGGGGGAGACCTAGCTTGACCATAGCTCTCCCCCCCCCCTACGATTGGTTTAGTTCAATAGAAAAAAGCGTCACAATTGATGCAAAAAATAATGAAGCTATGCCATTCTTCGCAAACGCCTTCGCAGGTTAGCAAACCGGAGGCTTCGTCAGGTTGAACTTCAAGCTTCCCCGCTGTCTTTCTCTCTCTCGAGTGGGACAAACCAAATGTAGTTTTTATTGTTTTGGTTAATTCACTTACAAAACCGCTTTAAATCAGTTCGGTGCTATGCGCGCTCATTGCCATGTCGTGTCGTGCTCACTCATTTCAGCGGCATGCTTGCGAACCCGCTAGTACGCCGTCCTACTAATCGATTAAACCGATAACCTTGTGTCTTATCGCTCAGCCACGACAAGCAACAGCGTTCGAGCACTCTGTAATCGAGGGCATGTGCATTGCAAATTCAACAGCTGATTAGCACATGCCAAGTACACTCTGCATCGCGCTTTTTTACGTGGTGAAATGTTCGCTGTAGCGTTATCAGAGAGAGAGAGAAACGCACCTGAATCACCCTTTGTATTTCATATTCGCCAACACTATCAGCTTTAATCTGTCGGAAGTTTTGCTTCTCGTAAACTCTTATCGCGAAATGCTTAACGATTCGCAGTCGCTCTTACAAGCAAGCGTCGTTGTGAAAAGCATCGGTGAAGCTAATGCGCTCTTTGATTGATTGATTGATATATGGGGTTTAACGTCCCAAAACCACTATATGATTATGAGAGACGCCGTAGTGGAGGGCTCCGGAAATTTAGACCACCTGGGGTTCTTTAACGTGCACCTAAATCTGAGCACACGGGCCTACAACATTTCCGCCTCCATCGGAAATGCAGCCGCTGCAGCCGGGATTCAAACCCGCGCCCTGCGGGTCAGCAGCCGAGTACCTTAGCCACTAGACCACCACGGCGGGGCCTAATGCGCTCTTTAAGAGCACACGGAAGACGCTCAATACAGTATGAAAACCTATTCTAATCGCTGGAATGAAAAACTCCTTATGATTGGCCATCGTGCTATTGCACTTGGACAGGACAGACTTTGGGAAGGGGTGTCCTACTTTTCCGCTTCGATGGTTCAGTGGTGCCATTGTTTGGCTGCTGGCCATAAGGTCGTGGGTTCGACCTCGGCTGAGGCGGACGTATTTCGATGGATGCGTAATACCGTAGAAGCCTGCCTACTGGGCAATATCACTGCACGTTGAAGCTCCACCGATATAGTCAAAATTTCCTGAGTCGCCATAGTCATTTTGTGGTTTGTCCACATAAAACAAAAAAAAATCGACGTAAGAAAGCTTAAATAAATAAATAAATAAATAAATAAATAAATAAATAAATAGTCAATAATGTTCACTTCCCACTCGCAGCCACCGGCCGTGCGAAATCGGCCTCTAAGTGCATTCAGTACATTCAGCTTGCATGTGCAGAGAGGTTGGGGTAAAGCTAATGGTTGTACTCAGACGTACACAGCCCAGCGGCACGAAAAGTGGACTCTGCCCCCGCATGCCCAATTAAAGCGTAGGCGTAGTCGTGACGTCACGTTGGCGTCGCGCCAATGAGGCGGTCACGTCTGGGGCGAGAAGAAATCCTCTCTCGTGGGTCTCGCCATCAGTCCGGCCCAAAACCGGTGTGGTTTTTGTTTCGCTTCGCGTGGAGCTCTTCAGTCTCTGCCTTGGCTTCGGTGAGGTTGTGCGCTGCGCGGGGTGCTCACACAATACACGCAGGCGGCTTTCGTACGCGTCCGTGCCCACCGTGGTTTTGTCTTTTCCCTGCCAACAGAGAGAGCCACCATGGTCGTGAAGGTGAGTTAATGTCGGTTAACCATTACGAAGTTACGTCTGTCACTTCTCAATAGTAATTGCGGCTAACACAGAAAACGAACCCTTAAATTCAGACTTTCCTTCATTACGAAGGTTGTTAGTTCGTACACCCCCGACGGAAATGGGTAAATTTTGGTCGACTTGAAAACATTTCAATTTACGTCATAATTTACACATGACATTTTAAAACAGCATCAATGCTTCTGGTGCCTTTTTCAGTCTAATTGTCTGTTGAATTCATCGAGTTGTATTGATCGTCAGATTAACTAAGGTATCATAGTTACTCATTAGCATCCTTCTTGAACAACTGCTCTCTTATTTGTATCAAGCAGGAGTTTTCTAGTGTGAAAAATTCCTGTCTACCTATTGTCAAGTATTCTTCCAAGTTTTTTGGGTTATGGGGGAGGTGCATGAGTAGTTTTATAATCGTGATAATTTTTAAGAATCGCAGACTACTCTGCCTACTTTTGGCAAAAGACACGACCGACATAAAACAGTTACTGCTTTAGCGGTACAATACGTCCTCTCTCAACAGGTGACGAAAAGAAAAGAAATATCATACAGAGTGGTCAAGGCAGCGTGAATGATTCCGAAGTTTCACACCTAACGCAACTTATACACTCTGTATGCTTGTGGTTAGTCGTGCCAAATACAGGGGAAACATTTGCAATCAAGTGATGCCGCATGGCATAGGCATACATTATGAAAGCACCATACTGGAAACGATATATCACATGACGACTGATAATAAATAAACAAGAAATAGTATTGTGATGGAGGTGAATTCAACGCAGTTTCATCGCGTGTGCTTAAATACAACCAAATATAATTGAAAGTTCCGTGCACTGAAATGTGACACACCTGTCACTAATCGGTACAGCATGTAGTCGAATCAAGTAGCTTTTGTTCTAACCATTAATATGTATATTTTCTCTGCTAATTTGAATACTATGCATATTAGTTAATAAAAGACCTTTGTCATGGTTAAATATATCAAATTTGGCTGAGAAATTATGTCCGAGTGTTGGTTGTAGTTTGCCGGAAATTTTGAACTTTAGATAACAAACCAGTGAACCAAGCATGTGTCAGGATGTTAATATAACTATACCTAACATGCGCATGACGCGTTACATTTTGACGGTGCTTGAGCGAGCTCTGGCGTCTGTTCGTGGGCGGATGGGAAGGCTTTGTAATCTTTCACAGTAGAGTACTAAAAGTACTCAAATTCGTTCACGCATTTTACTAAACATACGAACTGGACGGCTTTAAGCCCTCCAATAGTAGAGTATCGTGCACTCTTAATCGTTAAACACCTTTTCTAAACAAACCAGCCAAGTGATGGGGGGCCCACGGTATGGTTTGCAACTCTCCCATAGTATAGAGTACTAAGTACTCAAAATCATTACCCACTTTTTCTAAACAATCAGTATAGCTGTCCAGGTTTAGCATTGCTTTCAACACTTAACCATGAGCTAGAATTTTTGTCAACAAAGCCTCATCAAGTGGGAGGTCCATGGGACGGCTTTATATTCTCTCATAGTGGAGTACTTAGTACTCTGAATTGTTAACAACTTTTTGATTGATTTGTGGGGTTTAACGTCCCAAAACCACCATATGATTATGAGAGACGCCGTAGTGGAGGGCTCCGGAAATTTTGACCACCTGGGGTTCTTTAACGTGCACCCAAATCTGAGTACACGGGCCTACAACATTTCCGCCTCCATCGGAAGTGCAGCCGCCACAGCCGGGATTCGAACCCGCGACCTGCGGGGTCAGCAGCCGAGTACCTTAGCCACTAGACCACCGTGGCGGGGCTGTTAACAACTTTTTATAAACACAAATTGGGTCAGCTCATTACTTTTCCATAGTAAAGTACATCCTTCTCTAAATTGTCGTACTTTTGTTCTAAACACAACTTCACCAGCGTAGCCTAATGTTCTTCCATAGTAGAGTACATCGTTCTCTGAATCGTCAAAATTTTCTTCTAAATACAACGCTTTCGTAGCACTATAGTGCCGGGTAGAGCTCACAGCTTTCCGCAGTAGCTTATACACGGTACTCTAAATCGTCAAAAAGTTGGTTTATCTTCATACGTAGTAATGCACTAGCATGCCTCGCTCATAAATTTACGCCCTGACCTGCGCGTACCACACGGTTGGGCACAGGGCTGTATGCGAAAAAACTTTTTTAGAGGTTAGGGCGGCCTCTTTGATCTAAAGTGGGGGCCGGGCTGGCAAATGATCATTTTGCACTATGCATGCATGAGGAAAAAATTTTTGGGGTGGGGCACAGATCCGGAGGTCTATCCCCGGCTACGTCACTGGTTTAGCAAACGGATCATCTAGCCGTGTATTACCCTAGCCAGGCGGAGAAAGACTAGACAACATATTTCGCAGCGACGCTTCCAGACACTGTTCTCATATCAGATAAAAACGGTGACCCGAAAGATAGAGCCGCTATCAGAGACGGCCTCTATCGCACTTGAGATACGGTATAAGTGGAAAGAGTGAGCGGGATGTCTCAGATATGAAAGCGTAACACGTAATCGCTTTGAGCGTCGTTCGAGCATGCCGCTTCTCTGGCACGAGAGGCCGGAATGTAATCAGTCTGACACACTTCATGCAATAATGAATCGTTAGAGCCTTACGTCATATAGAACCAAGATGTGGTCATGAGGGACACCGTTGAGGAGGGCTTGGGATATATAGACCATCTGGGGTTCTTTCACATCCCACACACATGGGCATCTATAGCTTTCCGCCTCCATCAAAATTCGAACGCCATGACCGAGAACCAACACGTGACCTTCGAGTCAGCAGCCGATCATTGCAACCAGTATACCATCTAAGCGGATGAACAAAATATTATTTGTATAGAACCTTCACTCTTTGTTTTTATTTCAAATTTTCACTTCGGTTTGCTCAGCGACTTGAATTTTCTACATTCACCATTTAACTTCCCGACCAGACACAATTGCGTCAAACTAAACTTTTGAACATTCACTAGCGCGTTTTGGAGTTCGCTTAACTTTCGATAGACGCCGCTTCCCTGGCTTTGCTATATTCAGCGGACCAATGGAAGAAAAATCATGAAACAGGAACCGTTCTAAGCATACTTAGGAGCCAGGAGCTTAGCAAGAAGTTTTTTTCGGTTGACTGCGGCCGTCGGCGTCACGGTGACGTTCCTGTGTCAGTCGTGTCACGTCACAGGCTTTGATTGCTTCTACACTATAAGGCCTTGATAGTTCGAAATCTTCAAACAAGAAGTGCACTGTTTTCTGAGGGAGCCGAAGATTTGACATACCAGGTGTCTGGAAATTTCGCTGAGCCACTGTAGCCAGCCAGAATAACAAAAAGGAAAAAAAACGACATCGATGTCCATGATGTCACCATGAAAAATTTCTTACAGGTATCATTTATTTCCATAATGAAACCTATAGTAGCAAAATTTATGACACGCGTGTTTGCTGGACCAATGGAAATTAATTTATGGCTTTAGTGCTCATTTAACGGAAAATTAACCGTGGGACAATGTGAATGGATATGTAGGACATATATGAGTTAATTTGTGGAACATGCGAAAGGCCTTTACCCTGCAGTGGGCGCGCGTGTCAAGCAAATGACGATTATGATAATGATGACGATATGAATGAACGAGCCTGAATGCACAACACAGCTTCCATAAGGGGCACATCTTTTATTCTCCTTTGAATACAGGGGCAAGGACGACTGAAGTCGACAGCAAATGAATTTAAAGAACGTGGAATAACTTATGCAGACATTCCGCTTGCATCGTGTGCCTCATTTTCTCTTTTATTTTTCGTTACGACTCACCATCAAAGGTCTCGAGGCCGACATGTACACAAAAAACCGCGTGGTTGCGCCTCCTCAGAGAGAACGAACGTCGCATCCGGTCAGCACGGCAGAATGGCGCGCCGTCTACTGTGTAGGCGCAGAGTCACGACCGTTAACAAAACACACACAAATACACGCGATCTCATACGTACGAACGCACGTGCAGATGCACGAGCTCCGTGTTCCAAGGCGCGCGCAATAGCGGCATATGCCTCACGGGCCGACCTTCGATCGTGATGCCGTCCCGTGGACGTCTGTGGGACGTGATTGGTCGCCACGTTTTCGCTGCTGGCCGCCCGGGACGCTTCGGCGCTGGGTGTGGACGCAACACGACGTCCGCCGGGGGGCGTTCGTGGCGTGGAGCTATTAGGCTAACTGATGCGGTCAGCTGAAGGCGAGGCCCTCCTACAGTACGTTTCCCGCATACGCTGCCGCTGCAGTGTACAATGATGCCTCCCCGTGAAACAATCCGTACTGGCACTACCAGCATATTTATTCGGATAGAGGTAGCTTTGGTAGTCGCAATTGTGTGTTTCAACTAACCACAGGGTGTTTCAAGAAGCTTTCTATAAGGATATTATTAAAAGAGTGGATCACCTTATGGGGCCGGGATGTCTTACGTTCTCGTCGTCCATTCGCGTAACGCAAGTCAAACTACATTTAGCATAGCCAGCTGTAGCTTATTGAGCGCCCACTCGATGGCACCACAGAGAAGTCTTCTTGCCCTCGTTCTTGGAGCGTCTGGATTATGATGATGATAACGATGATGATGATCCTTGGATGATTGACACCTAGCCACTCGGGGGGGGGGGATCCTCAAGAGTCGGGCTGATCAAACAAACTGGATTTTTTGAAGTGCTTATAGAGGTTAGAATTACAATTGTAATAAACCGTTAATTATGAAGGATTGTAATTTTAGCTTAAACTCTTTTTAGCTTCCGTCTCTTGTTATTCGAGCGGCTTGATCTTGGTGGCCAAGGAGGTCGTATGCTGTGGTCGCTTGGCGTATCGCGAGCAAATCCACGTAGAAGAATTGAAAAAGAGGAAGCAAGCGATAAACAGAAGCAAGGAAAAAGAAAGGAAAAAATAGGATGAATAATAAACATAAATAGAGATAAAGAAAACAAA